GAAGACTCCAGTTCAAATCCTTTCTCTTGCACTACCTTTATGACCTGGGTCACGTTACAAACTTTCTGGGCCTCAGTTTCCTTGTCTGTAAAATGCAGGGGTTAGATTAAGATCTGCCTTGTAGTTTTAGATCCACAGTCCCCAAATGGCAGAATCGGAACAGAAGCCCAGGCCTCCTAACTCTAAGCCCAGTGTCCTATAATGACTCCATATTTCATAACTCAAAATAGTCAAGCAGTCATCAGACCAGTTTGTTTCCAGGTTATCATCTATTCCAGCACAAGATGGGAAACAGTGTGTTTGCCCCCTTTTTTAGAGAAGGGAAATGTGAGTGGGGAATGCACACTTGTTTGTATTTTTTTTCCCTTGTAAGACATTCATAATTCCAAGTATAGCATTCCTTGGAAGAACATTTTTCCTAGTTTCCCTCTTCAATTAATTACCAGATTCTTTGTGGTTTAATTCTCCCAAAAGCTCCTAGAAGAGAAGGCTTTTTAAATTTAGTTTGTGACAGCCACTGGCAAAGAGATGTAAAATGGGATAAACTTGAGAACAGAGAGGGCAATTGAGGGGAAAAAAAGGCTTAGGGCAGGGCAATATGTGAGAGGGCAGGTCCCCAATTTTAGTTCTGTGAGGGAAGGAGTGGGGTGTGGCTGATTCCTCTCCTGAAGGCAAATACTGAAAAGGGGGATCTTGGAAAGAGGTCTGGGAAGCCTACAGGTTTGCCACAGCTGTAGTGGCTCCCAGCTGTCTGAAGCTTAACTAGCACGTGTTTAACTAGAGCAGGGCCTGGGATGAACTAGGGGTCTCAGGGAGGTCCCTTTCATATGAAAGTAAGAAGCTGATGCTGTCACAGGGACTCAGGGGCTTCCTGGAGACTGACTTAGGTAGGATTGGTGCAGTGAAAAGGGTCTAGATTGGAATCAGAGAACTTGATTCTGCTACTTGGTATCTCTGTAACTCTAGACATGTCACTGCCCCAGGGCAATGATCCTCCCAAGGGAACACCAGTATCCTGGTACTGGCAAAAGAATGCTAAAGTTAAAGTCACAAGACCTGAGTTAACATTTCAGTTGTTCAGTGCATGACCATGGCCAACCTCTCTGGATCTCAGTATCCTCATCTGTAAAATAGGAAGATTCAGATTAGTTATTGATTTTATTCAGTCATTTTTCAATTGTGGCTGACTCGTGACCTCATTTGGGGTTTCTCGGCAAAGATACTGCCATGGTTTGCCATTTCCTTCTCCAGCTCATTTTATAGGTGAGGAAACTGAGGCAAACAGGGTGAAGTGACTTGCCCAGGGTCACAAGCTAATTAGTGTCGGAGGTCACATTTGAAGTCAGGAAGATGAGGCTTCCTGACTCCAGGCTTGGCACTCTATCTACTGTATCACTTAGCTGCCCAATATTTCTGATTCTGTGATCTCACTCTTAATCTCAGTACCCTCACCTGCAAAAGATAGTGTTTGAAGGTCATGGTAACTGACACTTCTGTAACATCTTAAAGTTTGCAAAGCACCATGAATCTCACAACAATCTTATGAAGTAGATATTATAGATATTTAATTATCATCATCATTATTATTCTTGCTCAGATCAGTGATCTGATTCATGGAGGGAAATTGCTGTGAGACACCCTTCAAGGCAGATGAATAATTGAGTAGGTAAGTGACTTGCCCAGGGTCACAGCTAATAAGTGTTAGAATTAGGATGAGCACCTAGGTCTTTTTTGTTCTCAGTTTGGTCCTTTATCCTCTAATAGCTTAGTGGAGTGAGCATGCCCCAGATAGAGGATTGACTCTGTGTACTGAAAGAAAACCCAAGAAGCTTGGAACTCTGCTAATTAGCTGAGGCAGCATTGCATAGTGGATAGGGCACTAGATTTGTCATCAGGAATATCAGGGTTCAACTCCCCCCTTCAGATGCTTACAATCTGTGTGACCCTGAGCAAGTCACTTGCCCTCTTACCTGGAACAATGGATGGATTTGGATTTACTGGCCTTCAAAATCTTTTCCAGCTCTAAATCTATGGGCCCATCATTTTTTGTTATTATTATTGTTGCATTGATTGGAAAAAAGAAAGTTGGATTTTACATGAAAACAGGTAAAGATCTTATTGGATCTTAGCTTTTTGTCTTGCTATATATACAATAGAAGGAATCTTGGCTAGCAAGCCAAGGCCATGACAAAAGGCTGTCTTGAGCAGAGAGGCAGGAAGGTTGCATAGTAGAGAGAGTACTGGGCTTAGAGTTAGGGAGACTTCAGTTCAAATCTGGCCTCAGACATTTACTAGCAGCTGTATGACTTTGTCAAGTCACTTAACCTCTATTTACCTCAGTTTCCTCAACTGTAAAAAGGAGATGATGATAGCACCTACCTGCCAGGGTTGTTATGAGGATAAAATGAGATATTTCTAAAATATTTTGCAAAATGCCTGATACATAATAGCTGCTATATAAATGTTATAATAATAACATAATAATAGTTATTATTATTATTATTATTGACAAATTATAATCTCACCAATGTCTACTACTTGCTTGCAGAAAATGATCCTTCTAGCTCTGAGTTTACTTGGCTTTTGAGAGTTTTTCTCTGAGATTCTTTCTTTCTGAATTTAGAAACCCCATGAAGTCAAACTTGATTCCATGGGACATCCTTCTGAAACCTTTTGATCCAATCTTGGACCATGTCCTCATTCCTCAGTCAATCAACAAACATTAGTAGCTTGCTATGTGCCAGGCCCTATGCTAGACCCTGAAGATACAAAATGAAAAAAAAAAAGAAGAAATAATCCCTACTCTTAAAGAACTCAAGAAGAGTCTCCCTCAGTCACCGTGAACTATCTCCTAACTACCAGCAAGTGTTGGCCTCTTTCTCTTGACAATGTTTTGTCTCATAGGATTATCCAAATTTAGAAATAGAAAAGACCTTGGAGAGCATTAAAAGAGCCTCCTCATTAATTTGTAGATGAGGAAACTGAAGCCCAGAATGTTGAAGCCTCTTATGGAAGGCCACACAGGCACTAACAGAGCTGGGGTTCAAACAGATGTCCAACAACTCCAAATCAAGAGCCTTTTCCTCTACTCCAAGCTGTCATCAGCTGGTTGTGCCATATGCCACAGGAATTCATCTATGATAAATAATGACAAGGATCTAAGAGTGCCTCCATGATCACCTACCTCCTTGTCCCCACTTCTTTATGGGCTAGAAGTGAGCCTGAGTTCCAAAGGCTATTGCCAGGGCACATTCTAACCCATATGATTGTTGTCTAGAGGTCATCATAGGCAAGTTGAGAGATGTTGAGGACCAGATTGGCTGTGGGGTGGATTATTAAGTCCTTTGTCACGAGATATCTCAAAGGCAGCTTCCTAAATCTTGGAGTGCTTGTGTGATTAGGATTCACGGAGGGGAGCACCTATACTTTGATAACTGCATATCATTGAAATATTCAAGGGCTGTGTGTGTGTGTGTGTATGTGTGTCTGTCTGTTGGTCCAGACCAGTGATGGCAAAGGAATTAGAATGTTAGACTTGGAGTCAGGAAGATGAGTTTAAATTTGACTTCAGATACTTACTAGCTGTATGACTCTGGGCAAGTCACTTAATTCTCTCTTGGCCTCAGTTTATTCACTTGTAAAATGGGGAGAAGGTGGTGAAGTGAATAGAGTGCTGGGCCTGGAGACAGGAAAACTCACCTTCCTGAGTTCAGATCTGGCCTCAGACACTTCACTTGCTGTGTAACTTTGGGTAAGTCACTAAACCTTCTTTGCCTCAGTTTCCTCATCTATAAAATGAGCTAGAGAAGGAAATGGCAAACCACTCCAGTATCTTTGCCAAGAAAACACCAAATGGGGTAGTGAAGAGTTGGACTTGACTGAAAAAGACTGAACAACAACTACAACGATGTTGTGAGAATCAAATGAAATGGTATACATAAAGAGATTTGCTAACTTTAAAGTGTCATACAAATGCTAGTATTACCGATTATTATTATTATCTTATTTAATGCATGACCCTCTTAGGTGAGGAAACTCCCTGTACTCATAGAGGTGAACAACTGTTCTGTAATTTATCATCTTGCCTTGCCTTGGTTACCCCCTCCTTCACTGAATGTTGCCTGTGAAAAACAGCAACAGAGTCAGTGTGTAGGCTGTGTGGAATTACAAAGATAAATCTGCACAGAGCCTTCTTTAGGAGTTTGGTTTGAGGTGGTCTTTGAATGGGAATGTGCTGCAACTCAATTAATAGAGAGTCTAGAACTTCAGCACCTCTAAGTAATTCTTAACTACTAAGTAGAACAAAACTGTTACTATTATTATTTTAATTATGTATTATTAATACCAAATAATATATTTAATAATATATATACATATTAAATATAAACTAATTATTACTATTACCAATATGCCAAATTAATAATTAACACATTTTATATATTTGTTATTTCATAATTTACAGTATTGAATTCTGCATTTACTCTGCCTCTTTAGCTCTTCAAAAGAATTTGGTTTTGCATTTGGGTACTCCCTCCAATGACATAAATTATAGAACAAGTCTACCCTAACAAAAGTCCTCCATGAATTGCTAGGTGCCTTGCCTTCTCAAATTAATCACCTTTGTAGCCAATCTTCTTGATAAGCCCTCTGAGCAAACCTGGTTGTTGAGTAAGAGGCACGCTCTCTCTTTCTCACTAAACTGATCCCTGCAGCCTTTCCAGGTGGTAAAGCCTGGGCAGTATTTGTATTTATCAGGGATAGCCTTGAAGAACTTTGTACTACGGAAACAATATTATTAGGTATCGAAGGAGGGCTGTACTAAAGTCTGTAACTTGAGTTACTTGAACATGCTTATTTGTCTATACTTTTCACCCTTGCAAACTCTCACAAAACTCTGTGGCACTAAAATGCTTGTTTTTGTACTCACAAGTGACTTTGAAGTCTGACTGTTTGGAATGATAAAAAAAAATAAAGGAAGACTTCATTCTTGACTTTGGCAGCAGCTATTGGACGGCGAAGAGACTCAAAACCATACCATATGAGGACTGGATGAAGAAACTGAGGAAATTTAGCCTCAAGAAGAAAAGATTAAGGTAAGATTTGATGTCTGTCTCCAAGTATTTGAACATTTGTTCTAAGGAAGAGGGATCAACCTCATTCTACTTGCTCCTAAGGGATAGAATTGGTTGTAATGGCATAGAAGTTAAAAAGAGGCAAATTTGGTCTCATCATAATAGGAAAAAAAAATGTCTAGCAACTAGAGCGTCCAAGAAATAGAATTTGTTGGTTTGAAAGGGGTAATGAGTTCCTTGTTATGAAAGGTCTTAAAGATCAGGCTCAAGCCTACTTTTTGGGGATGTTTAAGACAATTTCCCCTTTGGTAGTTGTTGTGCTATATGGCCTTCCAGCTTTGCAATTCTATGATGCTAGTTAAGTGCGGTGTATATTTACTATGTGCATTGCACTGAGATTACAAAGGTAAAAATGACATCTCTATTTTATGGAGCAGGGGAGGATGATTAAGGTCCACACATAGGTACACAGGTACCAAAATAAAGGTACCTATAATACAAAAAATAGGTACCTACAATATAAAGTATAATAAGGTATAGAGGAAAGTATAAGACAAGGTAGGGAATGAAGAGGGAAAAGGATAGATCAAAGTTATCTGGGAATATGTGAGTAAGAAGAATGCATTAATAGCTTTGAAGGTTAGAGGGAATGAGTAGTCATCATGGAACTGAACTTAGTCTGAAGGAAGGAAGATATGAAATCTGAATGGCAGAGTCAAAGAGGAAGAGCATTCTTGGTACGAGCATAGGTCATACGAATGCATGCATGTGGGAGATGGCATGTTGACTTTGGAGAAGGGCTGTATGATAAGGCTGAAAGACATATTAGAGTCAGACTGTGGAGGACCTTACATGCCAGGGAAATAAATTTGAATTTTATTCTAAATGCAAAAGGGAGCCACTGAAGGTTTTAAAGCAGGATAGTGACATAGTTGGACTTGTGTCTTATAAGGGAAGAAGTTATGTTTCTTTAAGTATCAGATTTCCATCTCCTTTTTGACCTTCTTTATGATTTTTGATCAACTTGTGTAAAATCTTTTTAAAGTAATTATTGTGGCTATTTTCTTTTGCCTGAAGACTTCAGGCAGATGGCTTTTTGTTTGTTTTGGAGGAGGTGTGAACATAGAACTTAGAACTAGGGGCTATCTTATTTGATTACAGAAGTTTTATTATGTCCTCAATCTTCGAGATATGTTTGCTTTGGGTCACCACACCATGATAAATAAATGGTCTAAAGGAAACTCTATTCAACTGTGGTCTATGCCTGACCATTTCACCTACTAGCTGTTTTCTATTATTTCTTCCTTTTTTTCCCTGGCTAGGCAATGGGGTTAAGCGACTTGCCCAGGGTCACATAGCTAGTAAGTGTTATGTGTCTGAGGCTGTATTTGAACTCAGGTCCTCCTGAATCCGGAGCTGGTGCCCTATCTACTGCACCACCTAGCTGCCCCATATTTCTTACTTCTTATCCCTACCTCACCCTAACTTTCTCTTTAAGACAGCTCAAGCACCAACTTCTGCATGAAATCTTTTTTTACAACCCCCTCTAGTATACTCATTTTCAAACTATCTTAAAGTATACTTTGCATATGTTCGTTTTATAATAATTCTGTATGTGCATTTGTGTGTATTTGTGATCATCTCCTATTAGAATGTAAATATCTTATGGGTAGGGATTGTTTCTTTCATTGTATTTGTATCCCAAGTATCCCTAGCACATAGTAGGTGCTTAATCAATGCTTGTTGATGTCTACCCTGGACAAGTAATTTAATCTCTTTAGACTTTCATTTCCTCATGTATAACCCCCCAAGGCCCCTTGGACTTCTAGATTTATGATCACGTGGTCTCATAGGTCCCTTTTTAGTCCTAAAGTTGTGTGATTTTGATAGAGTTGTTAGGAGTAGAAAACATGGACATCTAGTTAGGAAATAGTTATCCTAGTCCTCCAGCAAGCCCTGGTGACCCCTATGATAGCATCTAGATTATCCAGCCAAGTGACTACTCACTGTTTGTATTAATTACTCCATCCAAGTTGTCAATGTAACATTTAGAGGAAGTAACTGCAAGAACAGTACATTCTTGGTCTCAGTGCAATTTCCTTCCAGCCCCATCCTTCAGCACAGGCAGAACGTTTAGAAACCAGCTACAAACTTTCCTGACTTTGCCATAAGGGAACGTGATTTTATTTTTGAACTTGTGACTGTCTCAAAGGTCTGTGTCTGTTTCATCTTTGTTGATGTAGGCTCTCCATAGCTCTTTCTATGTTTATACCACACATCCTGAGAAGTCAGATTTCCTTGATTTTTCTCTGATGCCACCAATGGAAAAAATCATCTCTCAGTATCAAAAATTCTCTCTGAATGTCCTTCCAGGTGTTGTGATTCATCAGAGTAATAACTATGGTGGGGTAAGTGGTGATTTGTCCCAGGAGGGTGAAATTTAGAGGATGATGACAGCATTTGTACTCTTGGGGTAGGTGGAAACAGCTAAGTGTTGAACTTAATTAAAATGAATAATGAGTTAGAGTAGGAAGCAACCGAATGGAGTGCATTCTTCTCCCACTGGCTATACCCTAGATGAACTCTCTCTCTTCTGCTTCTGATGCTGCCAGACTTCGTAAGCATGATTCAGTTGCCTTTTCAGTACAGAATTTCCTTCAGTGCCTGGGACTTTTTTTTTTTTGCCTTGGAATATCCCTTTATCACGCTGGCTTCCTTCTCTCATTGGTGAGTTCCCTCTTGGAGAGATGGGTCATGGCTGGTTATGTCTTATTCCCCTCCTTGCTGTGTGTCTGATTTTCCTGGATTTTGCCACTTTTCCACCCTATCCCCTTCCTTACCCCTGCTTTTCAGCTCCCTTTTATGTTCTGTCTTCACAAAATAAAATGTAATGTCCTTGAAGAAGGAGGATTTTCTTTTTGCTTCTATGGACTGAATAATTGCTTGTTATTTGCCCAACATTTATTCTGCTCCTTTACTCAATGCCTTAAGGTATACCCATTTCTCTGACTCTCGCAGCAAAATTTCCAAGGGTTTCTCATATGTAACCTTGAGTTACAAGTTCTGAGTTCTCTCCATATCTCCTCATCCCTCATCTGGTGCTGTCTTTGAATTGATTAGAGGTCTTGTCCCAGGGGAATTTTATGGTGTTTATTGCCCACTTTTAGAATTGCTAGTTACATGTCTCATATTGGTCAGTCACAAATAGTTCTTGTCTTCACCAGCTGTAGATACTCAATATATTACTAGGTTCCTATAAGTAGATGAGTGTGAATAATAAATCCTTGGGAGACATAAAGTTATTTCAAAATTTAATTTATATATTATTTGGCTAAAACCAATTACCATATTTTCCATAATTATAACTTTGAATAGTGAGAATTAAATAAATGTGACCCCTTCATTTGAGTTATCAGAACCAATGGGGACTTAGTTGTATACATTTAAGTTGGAATTTCACAGTGTTTTTGTGGAAATTCATTAATATGAGGGTGCACCATGCTTTAGTTGTCAAAAGTACTTTAAATGGAGAAATATACCTTTCTAGTGCTGGAGATTATATGTGTGGCATGGCTGCTTGTTGCTGTGAGTGTGGGATAGAGTAAACTTACAAATATCCCCATTGTAGGAACTGGAGTAAGTTATGATATAACTCTAGGTGAATCTTTCAAATGTAAGAAATTATGACAGCCCAAGTAAGGGCTCTGGAATTGGGTGGGAAGAATTAGGGCAAATTTAAGCTTGATGCAAAGAAAACTTTCTAACAATTAATACTATTTCAGAGTAGAATGGGGAGCCTCTGGGTGGCAGTAAATTCTCCTTTCTTGGGTCTTTAAAAAAAACCAGAACATCTGGATGTCCACTTACCAGACGTGTTAGAGAAGGGATTGCTTTTTAGGTAGAACTAGAAGACCACTGTGATCCCTTCCAACATTGAAATTCTGTGATTCTGTGAGGGGCATCAAGATGTGTATTGGTTGACTCTATGGGAAAAAGGATATACTAGGATTTTCTCACAAAGCAAAAGTCCAGGATCACATGGTAGATATGCTAGATGTTAGATTTAATGGGGAGAGGACTATTTCTTCCAGAAGATTGTATGATCTATGAAGAATCATTTCACAACTTAATTGTTCTTTATTTTATTTTATCTTATTTGAGAGTGTATCTCCCATTGTGCTTTCTAGGCACATGGGTAAAAGTGTGTGAAGACAAAGAGATTGTAAATGATATGTACATTCAGGGAATAATGATTAGAGAAGTTTGGGTGAAAATGGGGTGGGTGAAATAAGTCTAGAAAGGTAGATTGAAACTAATAGATGGGGAATCAAGTTGTTATGTAAACTAACAAATATTTACTAAAAGCCTATTATGTGTCAGGCACTGTTCTTAGCACCTTGAGTACAAAGAAAGGCAAACAAACAAATAAATAAACCAAATACACAAAAACAAATGAAAAACACAAAACCAACCCAAAAGAGTGTCTGCTATCAAGGCGTTTACAGTCTAACTATTCCAACAACTATGTACGAGCAAGATATCAATATCTATATAATACATATGCAAATATACATGTCTATATTTGTATACACATATAGATATAGATATGTGATAAATTGGAGTTAATCAATAGAAGGAAGGCACTAGCATTAAGGAGGATAGGAGAAGACTTCTTGTAGAAGATAGAATTTTACATGTGACTTGAAGGAAACAAAAGATACCAGGAGATAGGAATGAGGAAGGAGAGAGTTCTAGGCAAGGAGACAGCCAATGAAAATGCATGGTGTTACAGTAATCAATGACGATAATAATCTAGTGTTTCATAAACACAAAGACTCCAGGTCTGGGATAAAAAACTCATTATTTGACAAAATCTGCTGGGAAAACTGGAAAATATTATGGCAGAATGTAGGCATTCACCAACATCTTATACCGTATACCAACATAAGGTCAAAATGGGTACATGATTTAGACGTAAAGGAACCATGCTTATGATACCATAAGC